GCCCTTTAATGTGGATTTTTTACTGGTGGAGTAGATGCACGCCATGTCATAGTTAATTTGATGTAAGCGTAATGGCTGGGGATTTGATGAGCCCCTCAAAATAATATTGAGCGAATGGCACAGTGACTAATTTCGTTTCGACCACCCTCGCGTCATAACGTAGTATTAGTAGTGTTATCGATGGTGATTTGATTAGTGTTCCCTCCTTAGCTTTAATGCAGTTTTCAGCCCGTTTATAGAAGAATCTTCGAATGTTGCCTATTTCGTGATTTTATTTCTAAATATTCTATCGTCTTAAGAGCTTTGATGTCGGCTTCACAGAATGTGATTTATGTAAGCATTGAGCGGTATTGAGAACATTGATTTTGGTGTGGATTTTGTACTGAAACGCCGTGATCACCTTTGTTCAGCTCCCTGCTTCTTGGTATGAAGCCCTATTGCATTTTAGTGCTGGCTTCGCGAGCACGTCTAAATGAATTTAGACTACAATTTATTTAGTGCCTCCATGTGAATATTGGCCTGTGATCTATAAATGTCAGGAGAACTGGTCCAATGAATTCCTCAGTTCAGGAAGGGTCCTAATGATAGAGAAATTGAATTGCATTGATGGTGTCTTCACTTAGATGGTCGAAAGGTGGCGTCCATGGGGTACTGAATCAGGGAGTGAATTCTATGCGATGCATGGTGAACATTCAGTGAACGCAGAAGTAAAGTATCTCAGACTACGAAGCACTATTCATTTATATCCAAAAATGATCAATTAAACTAGTTAGTAAGTTGTGTCATATACCAGAAAGCTAAGATCAACAATAAGTACCTTCCTCTAGGTAAATGCGCGTAAGAGGATGCGATTTAGGGGAAGATGAATAGGTTGAAAACGAAACTTTATACACTGGTGTCATTTGGAAAGTAATTCTGTTTGTTCTGAAAAATGACCTTTTCGTCTTCTGCAACTACGCTATAACAAGTGCTTAACAAGTGTGAACTGATCAGGCTTCAAACTACCACTGGATGTATTATTTAATCAATTCCATGGTAGACACCTTTTCTTATTATTGCCTATGTGTCTGACTTACTCTTTTACATCTATGAATCATTCTTATGTTCCCACTCCCTGCGAAGCCCGAAGACAAATAAAAGAATAATGATAATTATCAAAATGCCTTCCAATTGAAATTAATAAATGATTAATTAAAAGAGGAGCGTAATAGACTTAACTCCACGTGTCTGTCTCCTTTACAGCTGTGAATCACTCTTCTGTTCCCCCCTTTCGACTTTTGTCACTTTGATGTTCCTTCACCTCTCTGTGAAGCCCCGAAGACAGCTCCAGGGCTAATTATAACTATCAAAAAGCCTACTCTTTGATATAAATAAATAAATGATTAATTAAATAATTGTCTTGCCTATTGTGTTCGAATTTTTCCCAAATTCCAATCATACTTTACTAATTGCTATACCGTTCATCAGTGTGAAGGCCGTCATTTTTAGTGCAAGATTTATATTAAAAAAGTAACATTTCGTGTTTACTCTTTCACACTTCAACTATAACAGATTCTTGTAGATTACGCACATCTTTTCCTCAAAATATGTACTCCTTATTTGACATTTTCAATTTTTACAATCGTCTCCATTTTCCTCTTATGTTATGCAGTGCAAAACATTTAATAGCTCTAATATTTCCAACTAAAACTAATTTAAGTAGAATAAAAACGTCTTATATCCAAGGTTAAGAGACCAATCACACCCGTAACAATGTGACTGTAGAAAGGCATGGATTTGAAATTTAACTGAGTCATCATTTAATACGCCCCTAAATGCCTACTTTGCAAATGCGAGTGGAATACACTAATTGCCCATTTTGAAAGAATAATGACTTTGTAAAGAAGAAGAGGGGCTTGTCATCAAGCTATTTGTTATTTCTCACGCGGTCATGGAATTCGCGTTTGCATTGCAGGATTCTTGAGCACACCATTCCAACCTCGAATGAACGAGTGTGCACTCACAAAATCCGGCACTTCCAATTCGAACACGTAGATGCGTAGATATCGGATCTCTTTCGCAAAATTTCAAAGTTCCTTTAATGCGAAAAATATCCATGGCTTTAAATCTAAACATCTCCAAAGTTCTGACCGTTAGATTGAAGGTGGCCGAATACAACTTTGTGCCGACCCCATAAAATACTACTCTATAAATGAAATGTTTGAAACAGTGAGAGGTCGCTAAGAAATTATAAATCTTTCATTTGCTTAGAGTAACACAATCCTTTAGAAAAAATCGAAGCCCATAGATAATGCAGATTATTGAATTATAGAAAAGCCAGCTGTTTAAACAGATTGGGCATTCCGAAACGCTCACGGAGCATAAAAACGAATGTTCCTTGTTGTCCGTCTACACTTCTCTGATAAGCACATTAGAAATTATAGCCTCGTATCCAATAAATTTGTATAAAAATGAATGGACCCTTACTCTCTGTATGCTTGACAATAACACACCTTAAATGATATTTCAATGAATTCAGCATCCCAAACTCTACTTAATTGCATATATTACTTATATCAATTTGAAGAATCTATGATATTCATCATTAGCTCCAAAGATATCGGCATGGTCTCAGCCGGGATATGAACCCGGGACCTCTCGCACCCAAAGCGAGAATCATACCCCTAGACCACTGAGCCTTGTTCCCCCAATTGTAGGAAATTTAGAAACTCTCTTATTAAAAAATGTAAGTTCGAATACTGAGAATGGTGCAAAATTAAATTTCCGAAACTGTAAGGAACATCTAAATTATGCAATAGTGAGAACAAAAGGCAGATCCAAAGCCTATCACGGGTTTACACGTCGCAGAAGAGGAAACTAGTACTGGAAGCTGCTTAAAGTGGAGTTGAGTAAACAGGCAAGACAGAAAGTGAAAGGAAAGTAGGTAATTTGTTTAGAGGCTGTTAAGCTCCAACTTCGTTCTGCATTTCTACTTCCATATCTTCTTCCTCATGGGGTGTGCGATTGACTTGTTTCCAAGTGGTCCACCCTGAAAAATGTAAACTCATACGGCAACAAGTTTATAACTCGGCAGATGACTTCAAACCTTCACGATCATCCAAAACGAAACTTCAATAGGAGAAATCGTGCCTGTCAGGTCGATTCACGGCTTCTACAGATCCTTCGGTGGAATACTGGAGAGATGTCACAAGAAAACTGCATCCAGATCCTGAAAATCCTGCATTCTTATGATACGGACATATTCACAATCATGAAAGCCAACCTTACGGATGACAAGCACATATAATACCAATTACCAGATAACACCTCTTACCTCCTGTCTTAGGAGAGCATGTAACAAGTGGAATATTGACTTGAGTAAAAGAAAGACACTTACACATTCAACCACCTACCACTTCATCTTCACTTCGTATGGCCACTGTCCTCACGCCTTTTGGAGTGTGTGTTGCACGACACTGACCACAAACAGACCACCGGGTTTCGCACCAAAAAGGAAGGGAAGGAGAGATTGGATTATATCCATCCGCGAAGAATGCGTGCCTGAAATGAAATTTATCAATGTTATATATTTAGTAAATATTTTCATAAATACTTGTATATACTAATATATACTTCCTGGTAATTTTTTAAACTCTCTCATCAACAGGTGAAATTGGTAATCGTGGCTACCATTGCAATGAAATAAACGCTTATTTGAGGCGCTCAGTCCAATGTGCCACCATATGTCTTAAGTGAGAAATATAAGATGTCAAATGTAAACAAGTGGGGTGGGGTACCTAGAAGCTGCAGACACATTTAAAGTAAAAGCAAAGAAGAAGTAATTGCTCGCGCATACTACTCATTTCAAATGCCTTACAATGGACGAAAGATCGGTTTCTCGTAAATGCGAATCGTTCTAAAAGAGCTGAAAACTCATTTACTCTTTTTACAAGATAATAACAGGTGAATCAAAGTAAGCAAAGGGTCAGATAAGGTCATTGTGGTTAATGTGCACTTCACGTTCTTCGTGTGGGGTGAAATTGCGAGTGCTGATTCTCGGAATGAGCATGAATTTGATGGGAATGTTAAAGTTGTGAATTTCATTCTCCGTCCAAATATCGCACCACATTTATACAACTAGAGCAAAAAATGCAAGAAAGTGAGTTCAAATCTTGCTATAGAGTTCTTGGATAATTGGTCATGCGTTCTCTGGTTTCAGTTATGGTGTGTGCGTTAGACTGACCTCCACGTGGTGCACCCGGGCAACGTATACTGATGCGGCAAAAAAGCCTATTAACTGGCAGTTGACTTCTGGCTTCAAACTATCATGAAAACACTGTATGCCATATTCGATCCCTTCCACAGTACTCATCTTTCCTTTTCTCTGACTTTTAGTCTGTCTCTGTTACCTCTGCGAATCATTATTATGTCCCCCCCCATTTCGACGTTTTGTCACTTCGATGCTAAATAGCTAATGATAACGATCAAAACGCCTGTCATTAGAAATAAGTTTCAGTTCTCCTTCAAATTCCTCTCAACTTTTAATTATGAATAGTGAATATTTTGAGACATGTGATCAAGCCACCTTAAATACGACTTGAACTTTTGAACAATCCTCCTCCTCTCCCAACTTCGCCCCTGCTAAACTTTCTCAAAAAATCGTGACAACGGGACAGTGAAACATAAATCACCTGATTTGACCCCAAAAGTAACTTGACCTAATTACCTTGGCCTGATTAAAAATGAAAGCAATTTTATCGCCAAAGTCAAACCATTGGAAACAAATCGTCAGAACTAGACAGTGAAGCAAAATCATCTGACTTGATCTCAAATGTCACTGGAACTAATCACAACAAACACACACAAATAAAGAATGTACATAGGAACATAAGCGCACGTTTTATTTTGTGTAGGCATTTGATGGATGTCAATGTGTTCGAAGTAGTTAAACATTTCCATGCGAGCCTTTTGTTGTGCTCTCCAAGGCGAAATCTCTTTGAATTGGCCTTGGAGGCGCATAATTAGAGCGCTTTGCAGAGTTTGTTGGCATTTGAGGGGAGGAGGATGCGGGCGAGGTGGTGGAGAACGAGGAGGAAGAATAGTGGTAGAAGGTGAATGAGGTGGCGGAGTATTAGTACTTGACACCGATCTTCTGCAACCAGGCTTCCATTGGAGCTCATATCGCATTTCATCCACATTGAAGCATCTCGCACGTTGGCATTAGTCATTTGCTCGGAAGAGTAGCGCAAGAAGAAGTCGGTGAGGAAGAGCATGATGGTGCTGACCGCATAACCGCACAGCAACACGTCCTTGGCCAACTCCCCCCTTGGTTCGATCTTGGCCACAATGACATGTGGATGCTTGCCCTCCAATTTCTCAAACCTAACTTACATCAGCAGCATGCTCTCCAACGAGTAAATATATCCAGCCGTTCTATTATATTTTGCTCACGAAAGGGCAGATCGTCTTCCTAAGTGGTAATAGACTGCAATAATGAGAAGTAGAAGATGCACTCGGAAATTCTTCTTTATTTTAGGCAGGTTAATAGTGGTAATGCAAAATCGATGGGTTTGTATGGCAAACGTGAACGTTTGGAAGATTCGATGCATATAATGCACGAATTATTCTTCACTCATTCAAACTTTTTATTATAAATTGTTACTAACCATGAAAACGGCTCTACCAGAACCAGTGAAGTTGTCTTGTGCCTACTGCCATAAACGCAGCCATATAGGAAGCCATCACATTGGTCATTATTGCACCATGAGAGCTTCTAACATTAAAAGAAGAAACCCAAATAACAACAACGGTAGAAGTAGTTGTAGACTTGAATGAGAGAGGAACTGTGTGTGCCTGTTTGCATTTATGTGTGCGCATTTGTGATTGGGTGGACAAGAGGTAAGCTGGGAATGATGGATTAACTCACTTATCTTTATTTCTTTTCACATGCTTGATCTGATAGTCACTTTCGGAAGACACAGCCTCAACGAAATAGGCACAGATATTCCCTGTGTTGTCTGGAAGGTAGACACATAGATCCTTCCTGATAGAGGATTCATTGAGCACTAACTTGTCACCTTTAGCTTTAGAAGTGCTTCTGAAGTAGGCAATCCAAAATAAAATATGGCAAAATGTGCACATTGATATGACAGCAGTACTTTAGTAGCAAATTGCTGCTTAAATTACACTTGCGTTATCCGTAGTTATTTCAAAGTAACCCTGTTAGTTAAGGCCACCAGAATTAATTAACCAAACTCAAGTAAAGATTTTTAGTGAGTAAAGCGTTAATTGACATTTATGATTAGAGCAAATACGAATCACAATTGAAAAATCGTTAACGTAATTTGAATGAACAATAATATGTTTTTAGCTTAAAAGACCACTGCTCACACTGCCTCAGTATATTCGGATTAGAATTGCGAAGGGTGCAGCTGTGTTTGAGACAAAACGAAGCCGATCCTGTATATTCGATTCTGTGAGTTTTTCGATTTTGAAGACGTTCACTTTAACCTTAATGAAACGTTGTCAAAACGATAAATCTAGAGGTATAATATTGGAAACAAAGCAATAATCTACTCACTTTGTGAGTCCTGCTTCTGAGCCATGACATCAGGTTTTGAAACAACATATTATTTTCAAATTTCCGACTCTTCGTTCTGTTAAAACTATGGTCTCTGTTCGTCGTATAGCTAGCCATCACTGACGCAGTTTATGCAGTTGATAGTATTAGTGTCATCCGGACACTGCTCAACTTTATTCGTTTTATTTAGGTTTTCAAACTTCTTCAGATTTCTAGAGGATGAGACGTTTGCTTTGAATGGTGATCATCCCACTCTCCTTTATTTCGTATCTCAAACTTGGTTAAAAAATCACTTGGGTAGACCCTGCCTCCACAAAATAGACACAGTCATCCCTTGAGGTGTCTGGGATAAGAACCCCTCCACCAACTCCCATATCAAGCAGTTTACATGGATTTCATTGATATTAATCCATCCACCTGGGAATTGTCACTGTGCGCTATGGAATCCCCTCTCCAGTAGACAATTATAAATGGTTAGTTTTTGGGGCTGAATAAAAATATGACTTGAACATTTGAACAACACTCCTCCTCTCCTCCGGACACCCCACCACTTCGCCCATGTCCAACTTTCTCAACAAATCGTGACAACGGGACAGTGAAACATAAATCACCTGATTTGACCCCAAAAGTAACTTGACCTAATTACCTTGGCCTGATTAAAAATGAAAGCAATTTTATCGCCAAAGTCAAACCATTGGAAACAAATCGTCAGAACTAGACAGTGAAGCAAAATCATCTGACTTGATCTCAAATGTCACTGGAACTAATCACAACAAACACACACAAATAAAGAATGTACATAGGAACATAAGCGCAAGTTTTATTTTATGTGGGCATTCTTTGGATGTCAATGAGCTCGAAGAAGTTGAACATTTCCATGCGAGCTTTTGGTTGTGCTCTCCAGAGCGAAATCTCTTTATTCAGTTCTGTGGCGTTCTGTGTTAAATCATATTGTTTTTTAGGCCTTTTGGCCTATCTTCATATTTGCTGATACACTTGTCAGTGGGGATGCTCAGTTGCTTCTCATTCAGGTTCACTTTTTCAATAAAGAGATGTATTGCTGTGTTTCCTGTAACCAAGTTCGTTGTTGGAATGTGTGTTGATTTATTTCCTATAGTTATTTTGTCTAATGCCTGGTTTTGCATCTTCTCTAGTGGTTTAAGAATCACCCCAGAGGTTGTAATAAGCGGCTAGCAGCAATGCTGAATTATTTGCTGAATGAACATCTTATAAGTGATAATTAGGCCGAGCTTGTACTGCCCCATATGCTACCAGCTATGAGCTTAAGAACTTTCAGTTTATTGTAGATTCCTTCTCATCTTTTAGCAATGTGGCCTTTCCATCTTGGCTTTGCAACAAACACAATACCTTAGGGCATGAACATCAGCAAAAACGTAAACCCTTGATGCTTGTGACTGCCTGATTCAGTTCATTTTTAGCATTGTTGAAAAGTTGAATAGAGAGCCGTTTGTTACAGTTCGCTGTGGTAAGCCTGTTTACAAATGATTAGATTTGGCCAGGTTGTTTTCACATGTGACTTTACAATATTCTTTGTCGAATGAATGCCCTTAACAAGTTTTGAATGTTATTCTTCATACCAATTTTTGCCAATTTTAGACTTTGGTTCTCTTTCCGTACTAAGTCATATGCTGATTTGAAATTGATGAATACACTCGTAAGAGTATTCCTTGCAAAAAAGGAATCTTCGATTTGCTGGTGAATAGTGGAAACTTGTTGGTTTGGTAATCTCTGAGGTCTAAAAACATCTGTTTCCTCTTTCGCTGGACTGCAGCTTTGCTATTTCAGGCAATCTAGCTACATAAAGGAGAATCCGCCACAGATATTTCCGAGTCAATCACTGCCTCACGAGTGTGGAAATTCACATTAGTGCTCTTATTCTTGAATTGTTGGTCGACCATGAAATCACACAGATATGACCCTTCTATTATTGACAAGCAGCTTTCAAATATAAAAATAGTGTAAACATGAAATTACAAGAATAAAGTAAACAGCCTTAGCAATCCTTTTTTTCATAGGTCAGAGATTTATTCGTTCAAAAAATTAATATTGGAGACCTAATATGATTTTTTCCAATTTTAAATAGGGAAATATAACCTTAAATTAAACATTAAAATAACGACATAGCATTCCCTATTTTGTCATTTTCAGGAGTTATAAGTGCGTTCAATCTACCCATCAATCCATTTGATCTAGGCCATCCGACTTCAACTTTCGCTACTTTACCTTGAGTTGTGCCGTGAAGAAGGTCTTCCACACTTCCAGTGTCTCTAAACCATGTGCCTTGACAAGATACGTCATGCCGAATAATCTGGTGGTCTATAATATTCTTTCAATTTGTTAGCTAGACAATCGGCAATATTTGATTGGATTGCCATTTCGGCACGCACATATTCCCCATTGACTGCTGCAAGATAAATAATTGAATATATGCTTATTTTAGTCAATTTTTACTATTTAATCCTGATAATGAATTGGTTGTCGTTCTCAATTTATTTACCTCTGTTTTCCTAATGCATGAATACAGTACTTGTTACTCACGATATTGTACAATTTCACAGCTTGTGAATGTTTTCACTTCTGAGAGAGTTTCACCAATCGCGTATATCAATTTGCAATGGTGAAGTGAATTTATTTTTTCTGCACCCGAAGGCAAATAAAAAGCAATCCCCTCTGTCCGCCATCCGAGTAACGACATATTGCGTTGGAGCTGGTAAACAATGGAGAACCAATAAATAACTTATTCGCAGCAAAACATGTTGATTGGATGTTAATGGATGGTCAATGAGATGCGACTAATGAATGTGGTAATTGGATGGGAGAAAGAAGAGTGGTTGTTTGTCACAGAGAGAGTTTGACAATGTAGTTCACACCACCGTATTGGTAAGAAGATAGGAATTAAGCCCTTTCTTGCTAAAAATATGCTCATATCGAATGATTCAAACTTACAAGTCTCAAATAGGCAAGCATAATTATTATCCACTTTAGGTGGACTGCGAAACGACAGATAAGATCAATCTTTGTATGACCTTATTTGAAGTGTCAAACGAGAATTGTGACGCATCTCACATTCTCTGAGGACACGTAATGCACCGCCAAACAATATTTTTACTGCGGCGACACGTGGTATCGTACGATTTAAGAAGTAAGATGTGAAAAACCCAGTAACCATGTCATTCAACATAATGATGAGGGCATTTTTTTCCAGGGCATTCATCATTACTACTTGCGTTTGCTCTCCTAACGACATGTCATTTGTTCATAAATGTCAAGTATGAATACTCATCTTTTGAGGGCAACACTTGGCTTGTTTCCGAACCTGTTAAACGTGCCACCAATGTTCAACATTTCTAGTATTCACTATTTGCGAGTATTCATACTATTCATGTAAAGAATGTGCTTTGTTATGACACAAGCAAATCGAAGAAATAAAATAGCAAAATCTTTAATAGCAATGCTTCCAATATGATTCTTCCAGGA